TTTCCCTTTCAGCAGTGAATCTTAATACTCTCGAAATTGCAAAAGTGAATGGTATTGAAGCCAGACAGGCAAGTTTAATTAAAACTCTATAATTAATCATCAGTAGAACAAATTCTTTCAATACAGATCTGTTTTCTGATCATCACTGGCTGCTGTTCTCCACTTTTTTGTGTGTGAGGCTGTTGTGGCCTTTTGTCAGGTTATTTCATGTGGTATAAATCAAGTAGCAAATATTGCAAGTATTGTGTGTGAATTGAATCTTAGTTAATTTCACTTTTCCCATAGCCTGTACTGAAGGTGTTAATGAGCTCACTCAGTTTCGTTTTGAAAGAAAAAGAGAAAATGAGATATAATTTTAAATGTAATTATGTTAGACAAGAATGTGTGAGATTAAGGAAGAAAAAGATGACTTTGTTCTCAAAATGTGTGTGGTACTCTGTGGATGTTGAATAATTTCTTGTGTTTTATGTTTTATGAGAATAAAAATAAATGGGCATTTTATGTTTTGATAGAAATCTGTATGGGTTGATTATTTTGAAAGTGCCTTCTCTAATATGCAGCACTATGTTGCAGAGAAGCACTGAAATAGTCCTTTTTAGAATGTACACACTGGTCAAAAATTCCTTATTTTAATCTATTTCCAGGCATGCCTTATCTGCCTGGGGGAATTGTTTGTTGTTAATTTTTACCTGTTGTGTAAGGGTGTCTATTACCTCTAATGGTTAAAAGAGAATCTAGGCTTCACTCAGGTGGAGGTCTTGTATTTAAAGTGTGCTGTAATACGTCAGTTTACATCAGATTTTCAGCAAGTTCAGCCCAATGTAGGCAACCAATGGAAGGAGCTTTCCCCTCTTCAACTGCAAGTCCTCGTTGTCTCATGTGTCTGTGATTGCACAATTATGAGATCCACAATGGAACTAGGGGTGTTTTCTGGCAGCTGGAACTTGTAATCATGCATTTCCCATTTTGTCAGGGTTTTTTTGGTTAGCTCATGTCGAGTGTGTCATGGAGCTGTAAGTAGGGATAGGAATATAGACTTTGCTGTATCAGTTCAAACCACTAATTTGTCAGTAAGCCTCTTAATTTTCATTTCTGGTCATACTTTATGACAGATTCTGTGAATTAAATATATTTATTTGCAGGCCTTTCTGATGCTGAATCTGCTGTCTTTCTTAAAATTTAGAATGCATTGATCTGAGTGCAAGAGCAGTATGTCAGCTCCCTGGTCACAGTTCTGAGACATACTGAGCACATCAGGAGAGCAAACATGTTCTTTGTGTCCTTACAAAGACCGAGGAGAATTCACTGAATCACCGGTCCTGGTTATGTTGATGGAGGCTTAGAACTTTGTTATGAGATCATTGTCAGCTCTGTGTTATATAGTACACTGATCTCACCTACTGATGTCAGATAAGAATGCTCTGAGAGCAAGAGCTGAGAACTCAGCATTCTGAGATCAGTTTCTGTGTCTTCCTCCCCTTGGTCCCACAGTAACACAAAGAGCTCTAGCCATCGCTAACAACAGATGTTTGACCATGCTGTGAAAGGATTCTTCAAAATGCTTCAAGCCAGATTCTTTGGCATCTAAAATGCTTCAAGATGCAACTCTTTTCATTTTTAATAATTTGTTCCCAAAAAGACCACTCATTGTAGTTATTGAGCACTTTGTTCCCCACGCACTGTTTAATCACTTCCTTGTAACATTTTATGTTCCCGTGCAAACCCTGTTAATTGATGGAAAACGCCAATCTTCCACAGTTCAAACAGTAACAGTTTCAGGCACAGTGATCCTGCCTGATCATGTGAACTTCTGAGGATCTGGAGTTGTGCCACGTGTTCACGAATAACCTGGGAGTTTTCAGCACCAGGAGTTCACCTGCTTGCTTCATTGTGAGGATAAACACAGCTGCCTCTGGTGATAGCACTGCCTTTTGCCACTGTAAAATGGCTGAAACTACACCTGCCTTCTTTTACTTGGTGTAGGCACCCTTAGGCTTATTCAGCTTCCTGTTTAACAAGATACAGTCATTACTTGTTTTTCTTTCTCCTTGAGGCTTAGAGAAATTATTGTCTACCTAGAGAAGTGGCGCTTGGAAGAATGGTCACTGCAGTGAGCAGGATGGATCTCTCAGTTGCATAATGTTTAGAGGTTGCTGTTGAAAGCATGTTAGCATCTAAGAAAGCATATGACTTGTTTTTCTTCTGTGCTGCTGAAGAGAGCAGCCATGATTTCAGTTAGTGACCCATCAGAGAGCTACAAGGAATACCCTTGGTCTTCAAAACAAGGAAGACCCTTTGGTCTTCAAAACCACTTTCTATTTTTTTCTTCCTATTTTTAATTTGTTTTGCACCATCAAACTGTTCCTTTTTTCCTTTGTGCCAACGTTTGACATGTTAGTTGCATATTTTCTTTTCCTCTTCCATTTCTCTTCAGATTTTTATGTTGAATGAGTTAAAATGTAATGTCAAATGCTGCATGGAGACTGAGGCACTTTTGCTGCAGATTACATCCAGAAGGAGCTGACCTGTTGTTTAGACAAACACATTTCACAAATCTTTCAAATCCACTCATGGTAGAGAAATAAAAGAGACAATAAACTTGAAGTCATTTTCTAAACCACTGTGCATATTACATTCATCTCTATAGCAACTACATAAATAGATCTATCCTGGAGGCTAATTTGAGGATATTTTTAATGTCTCTTTAAATTCAGTTTTCTGATTGAAACTTGAATTAGCATACTTCTTCAGACCTTTAACTTGAGGAATGCTATTGGTCGTTAAATTGAACTTTTGAATGTGAAAAGTGAATATGATATTTGTGATAAATGGTAGAATTTGGAAGATCTGGGTGCACAGGTTGCTCCTTCCAGTGTTGATGGTATGGTGATAAAATGTCTGCACATGAACTGTCTGGAGCATCCATCAGCCCTTTTGGGGAGTCTGTAGCTGGTAGTGAAGTTGTTTTTCCCACATACTTTTGCTTGGGAGCATGAGAAATGAGATTGTGCCTTGCATTTGGCTGCCTGTCTATATCCATATCATCAGAAGCCAAATTCTAAAAAAAAAAACCAAGAGTGTTTTTTTTCTAATATCATTTACAGTGCATCAGCTTGTAGTAAGAGATGGTATTTGTAGGAATATAAAGGCAGAGCATTAATCTAGGGCATTTAAATAGAGAAATTATATATAATACATGGAAAAAAAAATCTGGTTTTTTTTCTTCACATCTGTCCAGAGATAGGTTGTCAGCAATACTAGCAGTCAAAAAGAACTGATCTGCATAAATTAATATTTTAATGTGTCCATAAAAAAATCTGTGGAAATTTATAGCTTTTGTGAAGCATAACTGTCTTTTTTTTTCTTTTATACCAATAGTTTTGAATGATGGATAGATGGTCAGGGAGGGGAAGGGCTGGGCAGGGGTGTGCTTCAGTGGGGTGTTGAGAAGTGGTTTAGGCTCCAACTGACTTTTTCCATGTAAACTCCCCCCTCTGTATGTGAGGAAATAGGCAGTTAAGACTCATAATTTCTGATACTATGGTGTGAGGAGCAATAGTCTGATAGTTAGGGAAAGTTTGTAACATGGAATAGCATTGCAATTTCTGTTAGATGTAGACATCAAAACATGTGCTGTGCATGGGCCCTTACTGGGCTGGCTTGGGTCACAAGTTAATACCTTTGCTTTTGTTGCTGCATCAGTAATGATAGACAGCAGGTTTTGTTTTAGATCTGAAAATGAAAATGCTGAAGAGTCACATCTGTTAAATCCTGTTGCTTTTACACTGTGTTGGTGCCTAGGGCATCTTGATAAACACTATAAAATATTTTTCTTATGAACTTTATCTGTTTATCTAATATTTGTCTATAAAATATTTTCTATGAAATATTACATTAAGTCAGAAGATTGGAAAGTGGTGGAAAAGAAGAATAAAAATAATTCAAAGCAGTGACAAAAGCAGCTCTTGTGCTTCCAAAATGAGCAGATTTTTCACATGGAGATATGAGATTAGTGTGGCTGGGATTGCTTTTTTATGGCTTGTTTGCTTACATGCCACTAAGAAACGTGTTCTTTATATAAATACATATTTTAAGGGGTAAAAAAATTTATTTCTTACAACTTGTAAAATGTTAGTCATGTTTTGCTATTGTTAAACTTGTGTAATTTTTATCATTATTGCTGTATTTATAGCACATTTTTATGTTAAGAAGTAGAATTAGCTTTATCAAGTATCACAATATATATGTGTTTAATGACAGCATCTGAAGTACTGGACTTTCTTTCCTTGGTTATTAAACAGGTTTTTTGAATACTTACCGCATTGCTAGATTGTTTTTCTAAATAATAGGCATGTTAACAGGAAAAATACATCTCTATTTCAACAGTAATTATCTATTATATTTTGTAATAAGCTTTTTTCCCCATCTTTATTTATTTGTGGTCATGAAATAACAACTTGTCAGTCTGTAGTCTATATTTGCAAAAGGTATTTCAGTAAAAATTGACTAAAACTGTTTTTCCTCATCTTCTTAATTCTATCCGGTGAATTTAAAGTTATGGTAGGGTATTCTTTTATTTTGTTTTTCAACACAAAGTAAAAAATTAGTAGGCTACACATCACTTGCAGTTACAAAACTGTTGGTTCAATTATTTTTACTTAACATCTTCTACTTTAGAATGAATTATTGGTTCTGGCCAGGGGTAGCATCAGCTGCTGAGTTTTACCACCACACAAACTTCCAAGGAGTTGGTTTTTCTCATTGTCAACCTTGAAATATTGAGATATTGAAGTAGTCATGAGAGTTTATTGCATAATACTGCACTTCATAGTCATCTTTTGAAGCAAAGCTGGCCATAGGTGGCAGGTTTGGAAGAAGTTCGGTTCAGACAAAGCAAGTGCTAGAATGCCAAGCACTGTTCATTATTTGGAGGCCTCTCTGTGTTGCTGATGCCATTCCAGGTAGTTGCATAACATTCTGGTTTTTCTTTTTGCTGACAGGTGATAAATCCAATGGGATGGGATGCGTTTGGTTTACCAGCAGAAAATGCTGCAGTTGAACATGGCCTTCACCCTGCAAGCTGGACACAAAGGTGAAGTGAACTGAAATATGGATTTTCACTGTGAATACCTGTATTGTGGCCCCCATAAATCAACAAAACAGAGCAAAAGTAGCACAGAAGAAAGATGGTACAGGAAAGAAAGGGGCTATCTCAGACCAAGGTTATTTGACAACATTTTATGGGACTGTGCAGATGACTCTGTTTTGAAAGATAAAATATGTTGAGATGATTTTCAAGGTTTTAATCTCAATGACTTTTAAATTGTAAAATGCTAGAATATCAAAAGAGAAGCATTCCCCAAACCAGCAGTAAAAATAAATCAGAATTTCATTATGGTGAGGCAAACCTTAGTATAGAATACACAGTGGAAAATTATGATTTACGGGGTTAGATTTACTAGCAGTTTTTTGTACCACGTGAGAGAAGGAAGTAGATAGTTGGGTTTTTTTGAGACTGGATCTTGGAAAGTGCTAAGTAGCCATTATTACTGCTGACTTCTGTGAACATTTTTGGCTTTAGATGACAGAATTGGGTGTTATGTTCTCCTAGTACTCTTTAAAATGAGTAAAAAGTTATAAAAGTAAACAGTTTCTAAAAATTATTTGGAAACCAGTCTTCCTATGTGAAGTTGTTTGTTGTACTCTGGATGCAGTAATCTATCTGTGGTATCTTATAGACCTGGATACATTTGCATCTTTGATACTGTTGTTTCATTCATTTGTTCATGCTTCTGGTCCCTTCTTAAAATTCTTGATACTTTTCCAACTAAAATATTATAATATTAAATACTTGCAGTACTCAATTATTCAGCACTGCATGTTTTTTCTGGACCATAATTAAATGCTTGGTTTCATGACTATCAACTTAGCCACTCTGGGAGGATAGATACTACTTTATCTGACAGAATGTATTTTAGTAGAAAGGTAAAAGTCCCTAAGAAATTTTAATCCATTCTACAGTATGTGAATGAGTTCCCACTCACTAATTAATATTGTGTATTTGTGAGTATTTTGGTAAAGGGTATTTAGTACATTTTCAAACTAAAGCTTCACTGTATATCTTGATGTATCCTACTTTACATTTGTAATACAATCCATTCAGGGCAGCATCTCACCCGACAGTGTCATAGTTGATTAATGTTTCTAGTTCCTTGTCACCTCTAAAGATACATGCTCCCACCACCTCGTTTGCACTGGCTCAGCTGGTCTTTGTGGGCCACAGTTTTGGTTTGATCAGCCTGTTGATCAGAGGAAAGGAAAACTGGTGGTGGATTTTTTGAGATTTTTTTGTAGGGCATCTTTTCAGCTGAATGGATAAGATAATTCAGATTATTCTACAGCTGCACGATCACCGAAGCCACAGCAAAATACAGCCGGATAGCATTGCCAGAATAGAGCAGAATTAAGCTGAGTGGAAGTATCCCCTACTGCACTGAGATTTAAGAGGGCCCTTTGACTCAACTGCAGTAAAGATAATTAAAAATTGTAGGAAGTAGTGCTTGAGTAATTCTTCCTTCAAACTTCAGTGCCATTTTTACTTTTAAGTTGCATTCAAATCGAGAGAAAAAAATTTATTGCTTCATATACATAGCCATGGAAATTGGACCAGAATACATTAGGGACTTTTAAAATTATTATTTGAGTATTCTGACAATTCTGAGATTTACTGCTAGTGACATCATAGTGTTTAGAGGTTAACTAGTGCTTTTGATTTCTCAGATCTCTATAAGCACCAGATTTTTGATATGATCACTTTGGAAATAGCTTAAGCTAATAATTTTTTAATTTATTTTCATTATTTTGCAGTAATATTCAACACATGAGGAGACAGTTTGATGCACTAGGTCTGTCTTTTACATGGGAAAGGGTAAGATTTTCTTTTTAAAATGGATACTGCTTTATTTTATTGTATGATGGAGCATTGAGACCCATGGAATTTCACCGTTTCATTTACAACAATACAGGTGTCTTTGGCAGTGACCAGTTTGTTAAACTGTAAAATTGAGCTTTTTATCAGATATCCATATTTTTGACATGCTGATATTATCTGATAATATTGATGTGTAGGAGAATCTTTAAAATCATTTTGATTTTGTATTTGCTTTTTCATCTCTTTGAAGTATGAATTTTATATATTAGAAATAAGGCAATAAACAGATATTTATGAAACAGCAATGCCTTTGTGCTAAGGTATGTGTTTTTTGAGGAGTGCAGTTTTCAGTGCGTAAGTCAAGGTTTTAAAGATAATAAATTGAAGTGGTGGCTTGGTTATGTTATTCCAAATTTCAAAGTATGAGCCTGCATTTTCATAGATGTTCATATCAGGATCATTTTAGAAACCAAAAAATTTTATTTAAAACACTAATACTTGAGAATCAGGTGTTGACCTTAAAAAACTTATCAAACACAATCAGACATAAGCTAATGTCATTTTCCAGAATAAAAAAAAGAAATTAGCGTTTGAAGTGATTGTGACGTTATTGCATTTACCAGTGAATCAGAGTCAGCCACTACCTTTATATTCTCAGCAATAGCTGCTGCTTATCACCTTAATGTGATTTTGAATAGAGTGATGGAGATGCTAATCTTGGATTTTTATAGTAGTATTGTAGATTTGAAAAGAAAAGCATTGGTTTTCTGTCAGCCTGAGACATGCTATCTGTTTTCTTTAATCATCTAGGTGAAGTTGTTTATTTGTATGTCTTGCATCTAAAAAACCATTTTGTCATGTCTCATACATGGAAGTATTTTTCAGTATAAGCCTTTTAAATAAGATTTGAGTTTTCTTGGTAGCCAAAAAAGTTGCTCTGAAAAGATTTGTTGTGCAAGCTCCACCGCACATGTTCTTGACATCTGAAGTTTAAAGCTGTTGGTGTCTCAGAGGTTGCCTGTATGTGTAGCACAGCAATACTTAGATAATATACAATACTGCAGAAAACAGTGGGATCCTGTGTGTAGGCTGTGTTATGGAAAACACATGTGCACACACACATCACACACATGACGAGTTCAGTGATGCAGGTTGCGTTTCAAGAAAACTGAGAAAATTATTCTCTTGTGTATAAATTTCTGTTTGGCCCTGTCCTGACCTGAAGAACAGATGGAAAACTGGCAGCATTGAAAATCATGGCAAGAAGTGCACAGGGAAAAATCATTTGTCATCTCTGTGCCTATTCTCTGAGAGTTACCTTCTCTTTACTAGTAAACAGTGTTTTGGTTAATGAACTTTCAGGAGTCTCTGAATACTTGTGGAAAGGGCTTTGAGTCTCTATTACGAACTCCGTTTGAACTGCTTTAGAATGCTCCAGGGACACATACTTGGTGTTTTTGGAAAGTAAGATTTTAAAACAGCTGAAAAATGTTCCTTGAAACACAGCACATTTTAGAGTTTTCACTCCTTAACTTGTGAGCTAAATTTTGTTTTACCTGGAAAGCCTGCCATACTAATTGAAGTAAGAGCAACCTGAATAGTAGCCATAGCAACAGATATGTTTATTAACTGCAAAAAATTTATGATGCCCAAAACATTATGTGACCTCCAAATGCATAGATATTTGAGCTGGCCAAGAGAGAGTATGAAAAACACTGTGCTGTGCAAGTACTTACATTAAAAGTGAGCTGTCTGAGGTAAGGAGTATTTTTTTATAGTATTCTATACTTGTATGGCTTTAAATCAGTAGCTTACAAAAAATACTGTGACACTGCAAAAAACTCACTAGTATTAGTGACTCCTATGAACAACCCAAGAAAAACAGATTTTATATGGGCTGGTCTAATTAACCAAGACTGTTTCACAAAACAGGGGCCTGTTTAAAATTTAATTTCATTGGTTTTGCTTAAATCTGCCCCTTTATTGTGCTACTGCATAGTACTTATCAAATAATGCTGGAGGGAACCTGTTCCCCTAACTTAGATCCTTATTTTGGTGTGTGGTGAATTGCCTTTTTAAAGCGTGAACCTTTTATGTTAACTGTCTCTGTCCTCAGTGGCCAGTTTAGAGTATATGCTTAGATGATGGGAAGGAAACTTACATAAACTTTACCTTTTACATGTGGTAAGGGAAAAAAGAAGTGAAAAAAGAAAAAAAAATCCAATTTTATTACCTAGTGCATGTAGCTGTCCTAAAGAATCTGCCTCCTTATAAAGTCAGATGGTGGTCAAAAAATTTGTCTCCAGGAATATGAAGATTAGTTAAATCTCATTGCTTGATAATATTATTATGAACAAATTCCAGTGCACCTGCAATACTAGAAATGTCCTTTTATTTTTCTGTGGGTTTTTTTCATTGTTCTCTGTGTCTTACAAATCAAAATGTGCAGTTATTTCTGTGTTGTAGCTGTCAGTGAACTTACTTATCTAGTAAGATATCATAAATAAGACATTATTAAAAGCTAATTAGATTACTTCAGGTTAAGACACTTTAAAATTGCTCTTCTAAAAAGAAAATCTAAGCAAATTAAAAATGAAATTAAATGCATTACTTTGCCTTAGAGTAGTTTTAAATACTAATGATGATATGATATTTTTACCTGAAACATGGAGGTATTTTACATGCCTCAAGTTAGAAGTATTACATTGTAAATCACTTTGGAAATGGTGTGATTTTGGGGAGAGATTTTTTAAAAATCCGTGAGAGAACATTTCTATTCTGAACATTTATGTTTCTCAGTTGGAAGGTTGAAAAGCTGAAGTTTGAACATGGAGGAAATGTCTCTAAAAGACATTAAAAACACATGGAAAATTAAAAAATCCCCAGCATTATGTTTTGATTTTAAGATAACTAATCTGAGCATTTCTGATGACCAGATTTTTCGAAAATATTACCACAGACAGCATAGCAAACTGCCTGTTACTTCTTTTAAACATGATTTTCAGGGGAATTAGGGTGTATAATTTTCAATGATTCCTATCAGCAGCAACAAAAGATGAAGTGCATATAACACTTTTCCTTTATTTTGTTCAAGAGTGTCATCAGATCGAGTGCATGTTCCCAGTAAGCCATCAGTTCACCACTGTTACTATCAATCTGTAACTTTCTCCTAGAAAGTAGCTCGTTCTGTGAAGGTTTTTTTCAATTTCTGCATTCCAAATGACATATTTTTTACGTGAGACTAATGTTCCCTGTCTGCTCTGTACATTAAAAATATTAAATCTTTGGTAGATTTTCTTTGTGCAGATAATTTTCTATTTAGTTTTGAAGTTGTCATTTGTGTGTACTGCCTGAGCATGCATAAAACCAACAGTAGATAGATTATTACCTATGAAATTTTCTTCTTATCCATGTACCATTGATAAACAGTGGCCCTACTTATAATTAAATTTAAAAAAAAAAAAAGAAACTGTTGATACAAGGCTACTTTCTTTTTTTCAGAAAAGATATTCATGCTCCAAAATGTAACCACTATATGACATTTCTATTTGTAGCTAATAAAGCATAAAACTAAGGGCCTTTGAAATACAAATATTCAAATTAATTTAGAAATGTAGGTTGGTGTAGCTCTAAAACTCTGAATATCAAATAATTATACTTCTAGATGAGGTGGTGTATGCCCTTGAAAACCAAAATAGGCAGATAATTGATTAAATACTGTTTTATCTTCCCAAATAGATTTTGAAAAAATCCATCCAGAGTTTTTCTTCTTATCTCCCTTTAAAGAAGTGCAACATGCTTGTCTTCAGGACAGCATTAGACTGCTAAAAATAAATTTATTATTAATAAACTAGAAAATTGCTTATCTCCGATCTTGAATGTGCTATTCACAAAGCCTGATGGATCTTAGGAAAAAATAAGTCTTTTCATGCAGCCTATAAATATTACTTTTATTTTTTTTTAATAGCCACAGAAGTAGCTTGAAGTTGTAACCTTCTTCTTAAAAATACAAGCAAAAACAATGTCAGAGACTCATAATAGAAAATGGTAAGAAAAGAGCAGGTTTAGAACATATCATGAATTTTAAAATAAGACATTTGAAAATTAGTTTTCCTTTTATTAAATACCAACATTTTTCATCCAGATTTGTGCTTTTTTATGCAGGATTCTTTACTATTGGCTACCCTTATTTGTGGTAGTTGAAAGGACTGTTTAAATCAGATTTTATAATAGTGAATGGCTTTTTGACCTTTACATAGACCAAATTCTTCCCAAGTTGCAGTGATATCAAATCCAGATTGTAATACTACCATTTAGTCTGTAACTGAGAATATATTTGTAAAAATAAACAAGTTACAAACCCCTCTGGTATAGACTTTGTTAGGAACAAATTTCTGTGCTGCAATAAATGGATTAAGCAACGTAGGTTTTGGTAAGGATAAATGTCTTTCCTATGCCTTGCCAGTATTTGCTCTTTTAAAAGCAAACCACCTGTATAGGTGGTTTATTTTAATTGTTGCAATGAATTATTTTCATGAATATCATTTCTGTAAAAATAAGGAACAGTAACCAATGACAAAGATGCATTTTGGTGAGAGTATCTGTTTAAAACTGGGAAAAGTAAAAGGCAAAATGGATGGGGGGAAAGAGGGAGATGCTTTCCCTCCCATTTCATATTACCTTCTGAAGTGCTTGAGATGTGATGGGTGATCACTAAATCTCTCACAGAGCACTGAAAAGCACATGCAGTGGACAACTCAGCAGCATCTTACATATTTTTGGAAGAGTTATGATTTTAGTAGGTATTTTATTTTTGTGGAAAATATGGTAATATCCTGTTATATATATTCACTGCACTGCTTTATGATATGGGATTCTATATGTATGCTGTTATGCCACTGTTCAGATCGCAAATGAGAAGCAGAAATGTACAGCTTTTGGCAGGATGGAATGGCTCCAGCATGTTATTTTTCAAACCCTTTTATAAACTCCTTTGTGTATTTCTGAGTTAAGATAGTTCTGTTAATGTTCTGTGGATCTTTATCGTGCTTATGGAGTATAAATAGAGATGTTAACATTCACCTTAATTTAAGCATGATGGCAGCCTAATGGAAACTTTTTACCAGACGTCATTTATTTAATCAAGGTCAGTAACTGGAATACACAGAAAATTATTTATAACAGTAAATCTTACTGTGCTAAATGATAGGAAAAAAACCACCAAAACACATTTCAAGATTGGCAAGAGTTTACTGGCTTGTCTTCAGCAGCTCATTTCACTTGGTAGTGATGTAATTTCTCTTTCTTCATTAAATTGAAATGTTACTTAAACCTTCATGGTTATAAAGTTAAATTTTGAGCTTGAGTGATCTTTTTGCATCTCAATGACCATGCAGCAGATTTTTTTTTCCAGTGATACAGTCTACTGCATTTCTTTCAAAGAAAGCTCTATTTACTCCTGAAAGAGTGTGTACATGGGATTCTGTTCCCAGGAGTTAGCTTGTATCGTGTAGCACAAGCTTGTGTTGCTGGTACATGCTTGTTTAGATTGGGAATTGTAATCCTTTTGTTTCAGTTGACACACATCTGCCCTTCAGGGCCAAAAGGACAAATCTTCATTCACTTTTCTATTTATTTTTTTTTTGACAGCTTACTTTTGTTGTCCTACCTATTTGCCTATTGCTCACACAATCTTATATTGTACTGAAAGGGATTGCTTCTCTTCTTTTGTGTGTCTGATACTCCACTGATGAAACTCTGTTGCCTGTAGTGGCATCACACTGGCACAAGAACTGTTGTTACTGTGTGAAGAAGCAGGGGAGGGAAAAACTGTTAAATGTGCTTAGTTGCAGAGATGGAAATCAGATTTTTATCAAGTGGTGTTTTTTTCAGTGCAGAGAAAAGGGTTTTAATCAAGCAACTGTTTTTCATTACTAGGTCTTCACATGCTGAGCTGAAAACTTGCCATTAAATGTCTCTTTCTGATCTTGAAGGTCTCTTATACACACTTATAGGCACATTTATTCAAAGGTCATTTTAATTGTTAAAAGCAAGGTTTCAGCACTGGAATATAAAGTTCAAAGCAACTAGAATATAAAGTTGTAGAAAAACAATAAAAAATTTCTGCTAGAGCATTTCAAATGTCATTTGAGTAGCAGATGATACCGCAGGAGTTGTGTGTAGTGGGAAGCTAGGATGATGGGAAAGCCCACGTGAAAGACATTTCACATTTGGAGCTATTTCTGATGCTTGATAACTACTCCAAATGGAATAAATTTTATCAGTGGCTTACTTTTTATCAGTAACTTTAAAATCAAGAGATGCTCATATTAATTTGAAGCTTGGTGTAGAAGCCGTCTTCCACTTCAAGCAGGTATGTGGGTTTTCATTGTACCTGTGAAACCTGTGTTTGTGTTGAGAAGACAGTGATTCTCTAATGATGGAATCTGTTAGTTGTCATTGCCTATTAAGATCCTTATTTTAAGTTAGGTTTTCTTAAGAACAGACATTTAAAACATGGAGCTTCATAAGCAATTGGTAAGCAGCTTGTTTTTTAATTATCAGAGTTCACTAAAAACTTAGCAAATGTTTTCAAGCTTTAAAAAAGTTATCCATTATATTGTTGTTTGCTTTTCTCTTAACTCCCCTTCTTCCTTCTTATGTTGTCTTTTATTTTTATCTGTCTTTATTTCCTTCATTACCATTCTCCTCACTTGTGACTTTTATGACTCATTTTTTACATACTTTAACCTAGAGCATCCTCCTAGCTTGAGCTCCCTTGCCTTTTGGAACAGTTGCTTATTTGACCTTTGAATGTGAGATCTCCTTCTCAAGTCTTTCATCTTGAATTTAAGAATCTTACCCTGTATTCCATCCTGCCCTACACGGTCTGCCTGCCAACAGCCTGGGTTCCTCAGAGCTGTTTCGCTGTCCTCCTGCTCCCAGTTTCAGCTGTTAGCTCCTCACTCTGCCTGCTTCACATCAGCCAGCTCCCTGCTGCCTCTGAACACCGACAGCCTCTCTCCTGCTTCTCATTGCTGAGCAACAGTGGAAAAGGCAGCCTGGCTAGGAGGCTTCTTTGAGAGAAGTCTACCTTTTTTTCTAGTTTTGCTGTTTCCTTGATCAGGCAGCTGTGATCACTTCCATTCATCTTCTGCTCTTATATCTTATCAGCTTTAATCTTACAGAGTTTTATATCCCATGTTAATAGGGAAACTTTTCCTTCTGCATTAAACCCACACAAAGCCCGTGTTCTCTGGTTTTGTGTGCAGGTGAATATCACTCATTGTAAGCATTATACAAATAAATGGGTTTGTACATGAATATGTACATAAATGTTTACTCTGTGGAATATATTACAAACTCCTGGGTTAATTGTTTAAGTTAAAATGGTGTAGGAAAATACTAAGAATATTTTCAGAATTTTTTATTTTATTTCATTTCTACAGGAGGTAACCACTTGCTTACCAGAGTACTACAAATGGACACAATATCTCTTTCTTAAGCTTTTTGAAGCTGGAATAGTGTATCAAAAAGAGGTAGGTACAAATTTAACTTTGGATATTTTGCTGCTACACTAATTTAGATCACTCATGTCAGTGGCACATTTCTGGATTGTCCATTCACAGTCAAAAAATGATTGTGTTCTGTTAGGTTTAAATCACTCTAAAATATAATTAATTTTATATATAACAGAATTTTCTATGTAACAGTTTATAACTAACTAACTAACATGAATGGCCATTGTAGCAAGTCAAGTCAGAAGTGTTTATTGTCAGGGATTTGCATTAAAGTGCAGAATCAAAGTACAACTTTTAGTTTTTTATTTATCCTGGCTTTAATATCAAATCTTCTAGATTTTATCATCCCTCATGGAAATATATGACATGGTGGTCATTAGGCGTCTCTTCAGCAGTGAGATTATTTACCTATATAACATTACTGCAGTACTGTCTCAGAACTTAGGGTTTTGTATAGGGTAATTGGAGATTAGGTGCATAACTATCCTGAACTTTCCTGAACCCAATTTGTGATCTCCAAAATATTAAAGTATTAGGTGTCATAAGACTATCACAGCTGTTCATCACTTGCCACTGCATTAAGAAATTACAATATTTGGTAAATAACATGTATCAGGCTATCTGAAAACTGAAGGTTTCAGTTACTTCTTTTACACATGATGAAACAAAGATGTTGAATGAGTAGTCCAGAGAACTCTCTGTATAGTCAGGCAACACAGTTCCAAAATGCACGTACAACTGCACTTTAAGGAAGCAGCAATTTAGTGCATCTTTCTAACTTAAAATGGAAACTAGAAATTTCTTAAATATGCTTTGATATTTCATTTGTATTCTATAGAAAGCAGGAAACCCCATAGATATCATTCAGGACATACTCCAGTAATTCTCTGAACCTGGAAAAAGAGATTGAAGGTGAAAGGTAGCATTTAGGATGGCAGAGTATTACTGAGCTATTTCTCTTATTTGCATTTGTATTCAGAGATCTTAAATGACAACCAGCAAAACCCCTTAATGTTTGATATATATACTAGCATGGTGGATTGGAGTTTGGGGGTTTCTTTCCTTCTGTAATTATTATTTTCTCGTAATAAAAGAATTTAACCCCCTAGCTTTGTTATAACAAACCTATTTTTATCAGTGAATTTGTTTGACAAGTGAACACAGGTGAATCTGAAAAGTACAAGCTTGCCGCTTCCTTCAAAGCAGGGATGATATACAAAATAAATCTTTTATCATTCAGACTCCAAGTACTGTGGGATCCTGGAGGTGTTTGGATACCCGTAATTGAATCTACTTCTAACTTCCATCTGCTTTCAAGTCAAGGATCAGTTTGAGGACTTAAATCAGCATCTGTCAACCTTTAGGGAATGTAATCTCTGGTGGATATGAACCAGTTGCTTTTTGGCAGGAAACAGATGGCAGAGAGAGCCCATAACCCTGGATCTCTTTGAACAATCATATATAGTTAAAGCATATATTTGTCCCACGTTGTCAGTTTATCTGCAATATGTATTAAGCACAGCTTGAAGTCTCCTGTATTACAGTTTCATTTTGGCAACAAGAGATAATTCATAGCCTTACTGTGATAATAAGAATAAGGCAAGTAGAGTGTTAGCCTAGTTAATGCCCTGTTCCAGGAGTGTGCGTGTCTGACCAGAAATTACCCTGGCAGGGAGACACAGGCTCAGTATGTCCAGGAGCTGCAATTATGGAGGATTAACAATGTCTGTCTGAGTGCTGCAGCATCCATAGAGGGCACCTTTATTCACCGTAGCAAAATCCTCTCTCCTTTTCCCGCAGTACTCATCTAGTCAATATACTGTAGAGGTGATTGACCTGGCCAGATGTGAGTGTCTCACTGAGGTTAATACCTGCCCTGACCCTGTTACTTTGATCAGATACCTGTAATCCATAGTGGACCCAGAGACAGCAAGCCTGGAGACAGATACTTACACTTTTGAGACCTGAAGTTAGACAAGATGAAACCTGTCTTAAAAGCATGTGGTCTGCATTGGCGTAGTGAGGAGAGCGAGATAATTGGTGTGCTCTGAACACTCCTGCACTGTGCTTTCTTTGTGTAGATGACTTTTAGCAGCTTCCTGGGGTCATAGTTTCAGAGGCTGTCATTGTCAAGAAGTTGCCTTTGTGAGGTACAAGCAGGAACTAAAGATTTCATTTATTAGCCAGGTTCTAGATATTGTCAAAAATCTGTGTGAGTTGGAAGGAATGTAACTTAAAAAATTCAAAGACGAGACCTTTCAGCTAACAATTTCTTAAATACACATTTGCTTTATGTTTTGCAGGATTTATTTAGATATACCCTCATGAGTTGTAACAGGAAGATTTATTAGGCTAAATATTATGTAATCATTGCAGTTACCTTCCAAAATTTTCACCATAAATTTGATAAGATATTATCAAAATAGAAACAGTATTTTTTCTTGAGTCACAGCCAGTTTAATACAAGCTTATACTAGCTCTGCTTTATGCAACTTGCATTTTATCACTTCTCAGTATTATCTGATTTCTCTCTTTAGGTACTAACTTTGTGTGGTGTTTTTTCAAAACTTTATTAATTAAAAGATCATTACTTTAGAGCCACATTCATAATGTGTTATATTATTACTGAATAAGCTAAATTTTTCTGGAATTCTGGAAAATAGGTTTGTAATACTGGAATATATTGATTTCTTTTAATTTCCCAATGAATTTTCATAAGTCTTTTATAAAATTTGGTGTGATATTATTGGTTGATAACAGATAAAAGGTAGGCAGAAAGTGAAAAGTTTAAATTCAGGTCTGAATTCACAAAAGCTTAATTTGAAGGCAAGTTTCAATTTATCAATGAAGAGCTTTCATTCATTTATTGATAATATTTTTTTTATAAATCAGTGTATCCAGACTTTGTGCTCACACAGTTGTCAGCAGTATTTCTAAGCAAGAGGATGTCTGCATCTTTCTTTTAGCTCTCCTCATTATAAGATTTGTGGTTGTGGTATTTAGTATTTGTAAGAATATGTAGCATACTTAAAATGAAGAAATATTAGCTGTTTGGAAACTGGTTGGAAGGTGATCAGTGATAGATAAAATACAAAATGCAAGATAAGTACAGTTACTAGCTTTTGATTCAGATACAAGTTCTCCCCATACACAAAGAAGTCATTTGAAATTTAAAAAAAAGTTTAAAGTATTAGATTTCTATGGAACTGTAGCTATTGTCGTTCAGTCAGACTGATTTAGCTTTACTACTAAATAACATTCAATATAATGGATTACTCTATTGCTTTGATATTTATTTTTTTTTCTGTTCCTTTCTTCAAGTCAATTAACAGCATTTAATGCCACTTTTGGATAGGATTCTTTTGTGATCTTAGATCCTTTTTGAGAAGTGACGAGTTAAATAGTTCAGTACTGGGGGAGGGTAAGTTTGATGTTTGCTCCTTTTCCAGTATGTTATGTCTGGTATTTCAGTTGACTCAAATGCTCAAGATACAAGGTTTCTGAAGTTGAACACCAACATTAATTTTATTTTACAGATTTTCACTTAATGCATTTGTATTGATAAGGAAAGAGGATTCCAGAAGTAATTCACGCAATTGACAGGAGTTACAAACAGATAATAGCAACTCTTTCACTTAAAATAGAGTTGACCACCATAATACTTCTTCGTGATTCTGACCTCTTCAGTTGGACATCCTTGTTTACTCATCCCCCTCAGTCTGACTCAACACTTTTGGATTAGTAGTGAAGAGCTTTTAAGCATCAGACTGTTATTTGCAATATAGTTGATTGGAATGCTTACTTATGTATTACAGCCAAGCAGTTAGGTGTCAAGCCTATCCTGCTAGCATGATCAGTCTAGACAAACCTTGCCAACTGCATTTTTGGGTCTTTTGAGTTCTGAGAAGATGCATGTTCAAAACTTTTCCAACTGAGTCCATGATGCTGATTCAAATGGCTGTTTTAAAAATATAGAAAACTCAGATAAAATTTCAAGGTATGCTTCTGGATAATTAATTTGGCATCTGTAAAGTAAAACTCTGTTTTTTAACTAGCCACTGAAAGTATTTTTTCTTCCTGCAACTTTTTTCTAGGCCTTGGTTAACTGGGATCCAGTGGATCAGACTGTTCTGGCTAATGAACAGGTAGATGACAATGGGTGCTCGTGGCGCTCAGGGGCAAAAGTGGAGCAGAAATACCTCAAACAGTGGTTTATCAAGACAACTGCTTATGCAAAGGTATGAGAATACAGTTTTTGAAAATTATGGTAGCACTTCAAAGCAGAGACTTTTTGTCCAGGAATATTAAGCTGGATGTAGTCCTTTATAGATACATGTTTGAATCACATATAATTGCATTATAAGATGTGCAATCTATCCCTGTGTATGTGTGTATATTAAAATTATTGCTTCTGAAGTCCTTCTGTAAAAAATGATTTCTTCTGAAGTCCTTCTGTTCACCTCTTTAAGAACTGTAGGTAACTGGTATGGAATTAACTTTTGAAGAAATCAAATTCTTCATTTGCATATAAACATCTGTATTCACCATCAGGTGCTTTTCTGCATATTTTGAGTGTAAAGTTTTGCAAAACTTGTTTGCTGAATCAACCTATTGGACTTGTGGGCATTTTATAAGCAATGGAGTACAACCTGTCACCTAGTTCAATTCCACTTGTGTCTGCACCATAGCTCTTTATGTTTAACTACTTTTTATTAAAGATTCATCTGGACCTTCACTTCATACTCTACACTATTTCATTATCTTTTATTTTAAAAATGTTTTCAAGTTATTTAAACGTCCCTATTTCTTATGAGCTCAAATTTTGATTGTGCTGGGACAATGTAGTTTCCACACTTAGGAATTCAGAGCAAAAGTTTTGGCTTTATGCTCTCTGAGATGAAAATGTCAGCTTCCTGCCTTGTCTAGGTAAAGTTTTTATTCCTTCTGAGTGTTCTGTATATTGAGACTTCAAGTACAGATTGAGAAAGTTGCTCCAAAGAAAATATTAAAAATTTGTCTTTGATCCTTTTCCCAAGTCTCAGATTCAAGAAACCAAATTTCCACTATCATGCACTAATTCCACTGTGAGGAATGATTGAGCTGGGGCTGTTCAGCCTGGAGGAAAGGAAACTCAGAGGTGACCTTATCACTCTAAAACTTCCTGAAAGGTGGCTGTAGTCAGGTGGGATTGGTCTCTTTTTCCAGGCAGCAACTGACAGACCCAGAGGACACAGTCTTAAGCTGTGCCGAGGGAAATAAAGGTTCAACATTAGGAAAACTTTTTTTACAAAAAGGGTAAACATGTACTGGAATTGTCTGCCCAGGGAGGTGGTGGAGTCACCTATCCTGGATATGTGTGTTTACAAAGACTGGATGTATAGTTGAGATGTTAGAGCTGGGTTGATCTCGATGGTCTTGAAGGTCTCTTCCAACCTTGTGATTCTGTGATCCAGGGAGAAGTCTGTGTTTCTCTCTAGGTCTATTCATAACAAAAAGAAAAACTTCAGATATTCTGCCTGATGCTTTGATTCTTCATACACAGAGAGGTACTTGAGATGTGTTTTTTCATTCTGCTGCCTGTTCTGGTAGTAAGGAAGGAACATTTGCAGTAGCTGAAGCAAAAGTGGAGCGTGTCTGCTCCATCACAAAATAAACACAATGTTCTGAGCTTTTTCTTTTCCCAGTTCCTTTGTCACCAGATTTCATTATGACCTTTGTGATATTTTAGGGTGTGCCCCAACTCACTGTTTCCCTCATTTTGAAGCTGGAGCTCCATTAGAATTTCTATCTTTACTGATATGTCTTTTTTCTATTGTCTCTATACAGGTTGTAGGGAGCAATGGCTGGTATTTCTGGTCTGTGTCCATGCTGGTACCCAATTACTTATATCCCTTTAAAAGAGGTGAATCAGCCATAGATTTTTACTCACCATGACCAAAAGACAAGACTAAGGAACTTTTCAGTAACCTTGAAAGCACTCTTGGTTTATGGGATTATTACCTCTTGCTCCTTATCCACCCTCCACTAGGAGGGATATGTCTTTTGTATTTAGTCTCTTACCTGAGAAATGGTATTACAGGAAAAGCACAATCTCTTGGGCAGATCACGTCTCCATCATGTCATTCCCCAGTAAGCAGGCTTATCTTATGATCAGAAGGAACTTTTGCCTCCCTCATCTTCCCCCAAAGATGTCACCTCAGGACACTGCCATATTCCCTACCTACATCCCCACCAAATGTGCAAGTGATCTTTTGTTCTTGAACATCTTAGTGACATGAATAAAAGCTGCTTCTGCTTTTCATTTCAGGAAGAACATTTGTATCAACTCCTACAAAGCCTTAAAACATTGCTGCAAAGGACAATTGAGTATTCTACAGATTTCTGTGAAGGTTCCCCACAATTTTGTTCTGTTTGTGATTGATATTCTGTAGGGTCTGTGCTAGCTGATACAACCAGATCGATGAATGATGCCATACTGCTTCCAGCTCAAGTGCTTTGGCAAGCATTACCTTCATGTTCTCCCACTTCATGTACAGTGACAGATGCTACCAAGAATCAGCAGGTGGTTTGGATTTTCCTTTTTACTCACCCTCCACTCACTCCTATTTTTGTTGCTGTGGTTCTTTTTAAACAGCCTCACTTTGCTTCTTTTGGCAAGGCTGTTAAACATTTGGTGGTAGAGGGGGAAAAATAATTTCCCCCCCTACACACACCTTGAAATAAGAATAGCAGATTACCAGGCTCTGCTCTATGAAGTCCGGTATCTGATGGTAAATGGATTTCATGCTTGGAAGATAAAGACAAATAAAGTCCCTACTTTTGTAATTTTTTTTTCTTTCAAGTTGGAAGAGACTGGATAACATAGCATGATGTGGTTTGCTTTCTGAAGACTGTTTTGTCCATACAACTCTGAATAGCCCATGAACTGCAAGCCACAATTGAAGATAGTTCACTGGAGGGAGACTGGATCTGAGTTAATAGTGGCCAAGTATTTCAGTCTCTTAGAAACTGTGCACACACTTATATAATCAGGAAGCTTCACATTAGCATTTTGACAGGAGCCAAATTACAGATCTGAAATGCTACAACTTTGGCTTCTCTTTCTGAATAATTTGACTAATTATCCTCAAAATGTCCTTGCACACATTTCTTCATTCCTTATGGTAGTCATGCCAGTACTTCTCCAGGAGTTGTGAGAGCCTTGAATCCTTCCTCCTGTTTCTTTTGTCTGCTTTTTCTTTGGGTTCAGGCTGTTCACAGTTCATCTGAATCCACATTGACCTGCATTGTTGAATACCCTGGTTACAGCAATCACTCTTCCTAGCCTGTTCCTCAAACCTTCTTCCCCTCCTCTTTTCAAAAGCTCTTGCCAGGAGAGTGAGCTTTATTGAGATGGAGACATTAATTTACCTTTATCATTTACTCTTGGAGTGGGGGGTCCAGATTTCATGGAGGTAGTCCTAATAGGTGTGGAGGATAGAGAAATCTCTTTAACTTTATGAAGCTAAGGATCTTTAATTGCTAATACAATTTCAGGAGGATAATATTGGTGGTGATGATACCTTCACTTTGGTAGGGGGGATTATTTCATGTCTCCTGATTTTGAACACACTTATTTCAATAAAGAGATTTTCCTGACTTTCATGACAGACCAGAACTACTACCAGTGTAGCTTTGTTTTTCTGAAATTCTTTAAAGTTCAGAGACTTCAGATATCTGTGCCTCTAATGATAAATTAGTACAGCAGTTCAGTTCTTTATGGATCTCAATTCCCTTTTTTGTCAGTTGTTTGGTAATTCATATGTCAGACTTCTATAAAAGGGAAATCTGAGGGGACATCATAAAAGTCTGTAATGAGCCTGGGGATTTCAAATCCATGGTCAACTTGCTTTGCATTAGACACTAACAGAAAGAGAAACTTGCCTTTCTGATCCTGAGTCCTGTATTCCCCATTTCTGAGGCAATTGCCTGTTTAACATCTATTGTCCAATTCTCTTTTTTTAAAATGTGTCCACAAGGTTAAGACAAGACAGTGTCAGGTTAGCATGGTCAAAATCATTGGGATATGGAGATCTTAGTTTAGGTCTTTGAGCTGTACTACCAGAATTTCAGAACACATATGGCCCTTTATTTCCTCACAGCTTGGACAAGCTCACAGGCACAGAGCAGATTTAATCCTTCCTTGTGTGAGATGTTTTTCCTAGGTTTGGTAAAAGGTAGAGATAAGTGGATCAGCCTTTCAGTGAGCTGTATGACTGGATTTCTGCTATCCACTGAAGTTCCACTCCTTATTTTGAAATTAAAAAATTGGAAGGCACTAAGAGACTATCTGAGAGTAACTTAATCTTTGCATCTTTTGGGGAAGACTTGTATTTTTTTACAACTTTGGCTACTTTCAGACTTAGAGGGTTAGAGTTCTATGAGTTTCTCACTCATCTTTGTACGATCAGGCCCTTATCTGATTTTGGTGTATTGTGGGGAAAGCCATTTGATTCTGGTCATTTTTTTCTTGTGCCTTCAATGGTGACTAATATTTCTTCTGAAAAGTTTACAGAAATTCAAGATCAAATGTCAGAAAGTACCACCTTCCTTGCCCTTTTTCTGAAAAATGGCTCTGCAAATGTTTCCTATTCCTTCCTCAAAGTTATACCTGAGTTTTCTATAAATTGACATAGTGGGAGAGTATTTTGAAAAAACAAGCTTTATTTCTGTTAACTTGCTCCATTCCTGTGTGGCTTAGAAGAAAATAGTTTTTCCATAACCTTGTTTCATAGGAAGAGTTCCATTTAAAATACTTTTAATTCATCTTCATGCATTAATTCTTCATGCAAATTACCAGCTAGCAATAATGACTCCATATGTCTGGTACAACCTATTTTCTACTTGTAACATCCACAAATAATTTTGTTGTAACTTTTCAGCCTTTTTATAGGTTATACTGATGATCTATTCTAGTCATCTGTGTTCCTCCCTTTTGCCCATTTATCATTTTATGTTTTCCCTTGTATCTCGCAACCTTAATGAAAATAAAAACCAGTCAGAGTAATCTTCATCTGCAGTGCCTCCATTACAGGTCAAATAGCAGCCAGGAGTTTCATGATTAGTAGTGGTCTGTGAAGCTGGGTGTTACAGGAGTCAGTGTTTCATTCCTACACACACTGTTTTTTCAGATTTCTGTTGTGTCCAGAGGAATCATCTCCTGTGGATTTGCTTTGATTTTTTTGTTGTTGTTGTTGTT